TTGATCGCTTCATCCTCCTGCAGGACATTAATCTGAGCGTATTAATCTGAGCGTATTAATCTGAGCGTATTAATCTGAGTGTATTAATCTGAGCGTATTAATCTGAGTGTATTAATCTGAGCGTATTAATCTGAGCGTATTAATCTGAGCGTATTAATCTGAGCGCATTAATCTGAGCGCATTAATCTGAGCGTATTAATCTGAGCGTATTAATCTGAGCGTATTAATCTGAGCGTATTAATCTGAGCGTATAAATCTGTGCGTATTAATCTGAGTGCATTAATCTGAGCGTATTAATCTGAGCGTATTAATCTGAGTGCATTAATCTGAGCGTATTATTCTTAATCTGAGGATATTAATCTGAGTGTATTAATCTGAGCGTATTAATCTGAGTGTATTAATCTGAGCGTATTATTCTTAATCTGAGGATATTAATCTGAGTGTATTAATCTGAGCGTATTAATCTGAGTGTATTAATCTGAGTGTATTATTCTTAATCTGAGGATATTAATCTGAGTGTATTAATCTGAGCGTATTAATCTGAGCGTATTAATCTGAGTGTATTAATCTGAGTGTATTAATCTGAGCGTATTAATCTGAGTGTATTAATCTGAGTGTATTAATCTGAGCGTATTAATCTGAGCGTATTAATCTGAGTGTATTAATCTGAGCGTATTAATCTGAGCGTATTAATCTGAGCGCATTAATCTGAGCGCATTAATCTGAGCGCATTAATCTGAGCGTATTAATCTGAGCGTATTAATCTGAGCGTATTAATCTGAGCATATTAATCTGAGTGCATTAATCTGAGTGCATTAATCTGAGCGTATTAATCTGAGCGTATTAATCTGAGCGTATTAATCTGAGCGTATTAATCTGAGCGTATTAATCTGAGTGCATTAATCTGAGCGTATTAATCTGAGTGTATTAATCTGAGTGTATTATTCTTAATCTGAGGATATTAATCTGAGTGTATTAATCTGAGCGTATTAATCTGAGTGTATTAATCTGAGTGTATTATTCTTAATCTGAGCATATTAATCTATATTAATCTGAGTGTATTAATCTATATTAATCTGAGTGTATTATTCTTAATCTGAGTGTATTAATCTATATTAATCTGAGTGTATTAATCTGAGCGTATTAATCTGAGTGTATTATTCTTAATCTGAGGATATTAATCTGAGGATATTAATCTGAGTGTATTATTCTGAATCTGAGCGTATTAATCTGTATTAATCTGAGTGTATTAATCTATATTAATCTGAGTGTATTATTCTTAATCTGAGTGTATTAATCTGTATTAATCTGAGTGTATTAATCTATATTAATCTGAGTGTATTATTCTTAATCTGAGTGTATTAATCTATATTAATCTGAGTGTATTAATCTGAGCGTATTAATCTGAGCGTATTAATCTGAGCGTATTAATCTGAGTGTATTTATCTGAGTTTATTAATCTGAGCGTATTAATCTGAGCGTATTAATCTGAGCGTATTAATCTGAGTGTATTTATCTGAGCGTATTAATCTGAGCGTATTAATCTGAGTGCATTAATCTGAGCGTATTAATCTGAGCGTATTAATCTGAGCGTATTAATCTGAGCGTATTAATCTGAGTGTATTTATCTGAGTTTATTAATCTGAGCGTATTAATCTGAGCGTATTAATCTGAGCGTATTAATCTGAGCGTATTAATCTGAGCGTATTAATCTGAGCGTATTAATCTGAGCGTATTAATCTGAGTGTATTCATCTGAGTGTATTAATCTGTATTAATCTGAGCGTATTAATCTGTATTATTCTGAGTGTATTAATCTGTATTAATCTGAGCATATTAATCTGAGTGTATTAATCTGTATTAATCTGAGTGTAATAATCTATATTAATCTGAGTGTATTAATCTGCAGTGGTGGAGGAAGTACTGAATCTCAGTACTTAAGTAAAAGTACAAATAACCAGAGACATATTTACTTTAGTAAAAGTAGAAGTACCACAATGACAACCCTACTTAAGTAAAAAGTACCTGATTTTAAATGTACTTTAAGTATTAAAAGTAAAAGTACTTGCATAACAATTTATTCTCTTAATGTCTATATTCTAATGATTAATAAAACAGTTAATTCTCTAACTCATTCAACCTAATACTCATAAAATGATGTTCAATATGATGGAAAAGCAGTTATATTTTAAGTTTTTGTCACCATTTCTGAACAAGCTTGCAATTAGGCAATATACACATCAAGCTTACTATATACCCTTACTATATACGGTATATATATATATAAACACACATATTATGTTAAAACGCCGTATATGACGGCGTTTGGCTGTAAACGCGATTCATTTATGGCGTAATTCTGAACCTCTTGGCTTGCCATACTAATCCATAATACACACGCACCCCACATCACTACTAAACCTACCAATGCGTTTCCTATGCATGTAAAAACTAATTTTCGCGTATAAATTTCACGATAAACACACTGCGTGCTATAGAGACGCATTTAGTGTGACCAGGTTGATATATCTATGGCAACCAAACTTCACTGGTGAGACAGAAACGTGCGATGAACGGACGGTCAGGATGACGTTTTGGCAGGGGAAAAACTGATCAGAAAATTTAACGAAAATGTAACAGAACGTTGTAGAAATGTAGTGGAGTAGAAAGTATAATAATTGCTGCAAAATGTAACGAAGTAAAAGTAAAAAGTATGCACTATTGATTCTACTTAAGTAAAGTACAGATACGTGAAAAATTTACTTAAGTAAAGTAACGAAGTATTTGTACTTCGTTACATTCCACCACTGTTAATCTGTATTAATCTGAGTGTATTTATCTATATTAATCTGAGTGTATTAATCTTAATCTGAGCGTATTCATCTGTATTAATCTGAGTATATTATTCTTAATCTGAGCGTTTTAATCTGAGCATATTAATCTGTATTAATCTGAGCGTATTATTCTGAGTGTATTAATCTGAGCATATTAATCTGAGTGTATTAATCTGAGTGTATTAATCTGTATTAATCTGAGTGTATTAATCTATATTAATTTGAGTGTATTAATCTGAGCATATTATCTGAGTGTATTAATCTATATTAATCTGAGCGTATTAATCTATATTAATCTGAGTGTATTAATCTGTATTAATCTGAGTGCATTAATCTGTATTAATCTGAGTGTATTAATCTTAATCTGAGCGTTTTAATCTGAGCATATTAATCTGTATTAATCTGAGCGTATTAATCTGAGTGTATTAATCTGAGCATATTAATCTAAGTGTATTAATCTATATTGAGTGTATTAATCTATATTAATCTGAGCGTATTAATCTGAGCATATTAATCTGAGCGTATTAATCTGGGCGTATAAATCTGAGCGTATTAATCTGAGCGTATTAATCTGAGCGTATTAATCTGAGCTCGATGTTAATCAACGTCTGTAGATGGACGAGCTGAGCAGACAACTCTACGTGAGGATGGACAGCGCATACTAACACACACACACACTCAAAAACATACACACACCCAAACTCAAACACACACACACACAGACACCCAAACTCACAAAAAACACAAAAAAACCCACACACACACACTCAAACTCAAACACACACACACACGGAACAGCAGAGAAACGGCTTCAGATGAAAGAGGACAGATGATTGGTTACTGAGTCTCTTTCCTCATAAATATTGATGAGCCAGATAATAAATATGTGACTAGTGATTCAATTTGTCCATAAGAACGTGTGTGTTTTGCTGCGGTGTGAGTGTGTGTTACTCCTCCTCACCGTCGAGCAGATCAGCTTCAGGCTGCTGGCCACGGTTTCTGCAGGACTCTCACACTGAAACACGTGGCATTTCAACACACGCGTGTTCTTGTCACGGGCCACATACGCGAAATCCCTGAAACACAACAGAGACGTTCGTGAAGCAACAATCAGTTTCCTTCAAGCGTCGGCATTAATAAACCAGATATAAACAGGTTACCAGTTTAGCTGGTTTAAATAACTTGTTTTTGCACGATTCTCTTAACAAAATTCTGTAGCAAATCCTTAAAAGTCATTTAAATGTTCACCTCTTTGAGCACATTGATTTCTGAGAATGATTTTCAGTACAGTTTATAAAATTAAAATAAAAACAAATATAAATAAAACACATTAAATGCAAAAAAGCAATGAAAATAAAACGCTTACTAAAAGGCAATTACATCTAAAAAAATGTAAAATTAAAGTCCCCCTGTAGTCAATCATTTTATCTGTTAAAACTCAACTTTGATCACCAAAATGACATATTTACATGTTTATTTATTTATTTGTATAGCGCTTTTCACAATACACATGCACTTTCTGTAAAGCTGCTTTGAAATGATGAGTCCACATTGCAATTTACAGTGATCTGTTATTAGAGGAAACTGTCTAAGTTATGTATTTCAGAAATATACATATACAAAATCACAGTCAGCGAAAAATGTGTTAATTTAAACCATGTAATAATTTAATGCAGAAACAATGAGCTCATTGAAGTAATGAACTTTTTCCTTGAAAATTCCTTCCTGCCTTAAAATATCTTGAATGTAACTCGACACCCTTGCCTCATTTAGTATGCGTGGTTCTATGAATATACAGATGAGCCCCGCCTCCACTCACTCACTCAGCTCAGAGATCCACTGGTTGACGATCACACGTTGATCTGATTGGTTACAAGGTCGTTTGTGACGTCAGAAACACCAGCGATTTCAAACCGTGTTTTTGAGACTGTCTTTGGTTCACTGCAGTTTTAAGCAGAAAATACTCAGCAATGCTGTCGACTTATGAACTTACACATGGTGTGTCTTAAAGCGTATTAAAAACACCACATAGACATATAAACAACATTAAAAGCTGGATTTCACCACAGGGGACTTTTATTAATTAAAAACATGCATGTCATATGACCATTGACTAACATCAGAGAGCCATGAACATGTGACTGTGCTATAAAATTATTGAAATATTAACTCAAAATCTCAGGGGGGCTTCTAGTAAATATCTGAGCTCAAAGAGGTTTAGCTGACAAAAAACATCTGGGGATCCCACAGGAACCTCTGATTCACACAGATGAAAATTATATATTACACTCAGATCGAAGAGCATTTAATCAGCAGCTAATGAGACACCGGGAACAGAAATCATCCATCAGAGAGAGAGACTCGTGAGAGAATTGGTAGAGGAATTTATATATGTGTGTGTGTGTGTGATGAATGTAAAGGTTAATGGTTTCGTGGCCGTGTTTCAGTGTCACTGGTGACATTCAGAGAGTTTGCTTCAACACAGTCAAACTGATGCAGCAAACGCTTTCGAACGGCTCAATCTGAGCAAAGGCTGGTACAAAACTCACAAACACACACGTCAAACTGCTGGACCAACACATGTTACTGTATGTTGGTGTTATTTTAGTATAACTGAGATACTAGAGTTTTTAATAATATTTTAAATGTTTTTATTTTCATATTTCCATTTTAATTTTAGTTAAAGTTTTAGTAATTTTGTTTGTAGTATTTTTTATAATTTTTAATCATTTTTTATGTTGATTTAATAAAAATATTTTAGTACATTTTTTTTTTTTTTTAGCTATTTTAGTACCTAATGAAATGAAAATGAGAAATGTTTCCTTGGCAACTAGCTGAAAAAAAGTTGATTTTTTTTTATATTTTATTTAACATTAATTATTAATTTAAAAAGTCAAATTACAATTGACAATAATTTTACAAATAAAAAAATCTAAATAAAACCCTTTCAGAAGCAATAAAAATAATGAATTAAAAAAAATAATCAATTAAATTAAAAAAATTGTAAAAATAAAAAGAATCAAAATAAAACTTTTTAAAAAGCAATACAATTATTTTAAAAAATGTCAAAAAATCTAAATCAATAAATAATCATTTAAATAAAAAAAAAGTAAAAAAAAAAGTAAAAATGTAAAAATAAAACCATTTTTAAAAAACAATTAAATAAAAAAAATGTAATTACATTTTTTATTTTTATAAAAACGTTTTTTTTCCCTTTCTGCCGCTCTCTTTGTGGTTGTGTGTAATGAGTTAGACACTAGGGGTCGCACCTCGGATGTGTTCAGAGAAGGCCAGTGAAGTTTGGCGTGTGGATTTGCATGCCTGGCCTATAAAGCCAATTTCCTTTTATAATAAAGAGCAAATTCCTCTGAAAGAACTTCACAGCGGACCGTGTGTTTTTAAAGATGCGATGTGTCCGTGTCTCATGTCACGATTCGACACACATCACGATACTCAACTCACGATACGATATTATAGCGATACTCCAAGACATATGATAAAAGGTTAACCAAAAATGAAATGTTGATTAAAATGAATTTGGTATTCCGTTGTGTGTGTGAATGAATAGTCTTGGACTTGATGCTGAAACGCAAAGCACAGGACAATAGAGACACCAGAATAACAATATTCATGATTCTGGAGCTGAAAATACAGAATTATTTTAGACGAATATGCTTGCACTCCGTCACTGACTAGATATATTTAAAATAATGTCGGCCATTTTTTACTGGTCTGGTAGCATTTACCATTGCATTATTATACATTATATTCAACATTATATATAGTAGTTTAATGTAGTACTGACACTAAAACTCTGAAAACTTGAATTTTTTCCTCACACACGGGTTGTATAATTGGTATAATTGTATAATTTCCCCAAAACGGGTTGTATAATTGGTAACACCTAGGTTAATCATTTTATGTATGCTTATGATTTGGCCATTTTCTCTCCTAGCAGTGCTGGTTTTCAGCAGCTACTGAATATGGGGTGAAATTTGATGTGCTGTATAATGCCAAAAAGAGTGCTGTGTTGATATGTAGGACAAAAGTGGATAAAGATCTTTGTTTTCCAGACTTTTATCTGTCAGGACAAGTGATGAGTGTTTGTAATAAAATGAAATACCTGGGTCATTACATTACCGATCAGTTATTTGATGATGAGGATCTATACGGGCAGCGTCGCATATGCCCAAGCTAACATGCTGGTAAGAAAATTACACAGGTGCACGGATGACGTCAAAATTGGCCTGTTTAAAGCATATCGCACTCCTTTGTATACTGCTCCTTCATGGACTAAGTTTGAAAAGGCTAGTATGCAGAAGCTTAAGGTTGCATATAATGACTGTATGAGGACACCGCTCAACAAACCCAGGTGCTCTAGTGCAAGTGCCCTGTTTTGTAATGCAGGGGTCTGCACCTTTCAGGCATTACTGAGGAGACTCACCTACAAATTCATTTGTCGCCTGAATGACTCCCAGAACAGCATTGTGATGCTGCTAGTAAATCCTAGGTTTAGTGCCATACGATACCAATCATCACTATGGAAAGGCTGGTATAAGTGTCTTTTATAGAAATGCCGTATTTTTATTCTCTTTATATTTGTATCTTTTTATCTCTTTGTATATGTTTCTGATGTATGTATTGTTGCATGTTATGTCTGTGCCTTCTGAATGGACCAAGAGTCAGTAAATAAAGGTTGATGATGATGATGATGATGACACTACTTTTTATTTTGGGTGAACTATCCACGATACATATTGTTGCATTTTTGTATTGCGATATATTGTGACACGATATTGTTACACCCCTAGTCGATGTATCTCTCTACCCGAAGCGCTCTCGTGACAGGTCATGCTCCTCTAGGGCTGGGTATCGAGTTCGATGCTTTTTAGGCACTGACCGAATTGCCTCGATACCATCGAGTATCAAAAAATCTCTTGTCATTCGGTACCAAATTTCGATACCTAATGAGTTACTCTCGTCAACGTCAGTGAGCCGATAAACATCCAGCATGATTTGCTGAGAGACCGAAGGCTGTTACCGAAGGAGTGTTACCGAAGGTTGTGTTACAGAAGAAGAGTTACCGAAGGAGTGTTACCAAAGGAGTGTTACCAAAGGAGTGTTACCGAAGGTTGTGTTACAGAAGAAGAGTTACCGAAGGAGTGTTACCAAAGGAGTGTTACAGAAGGAGTGTTACCGAAGGAGTGTTACAGAAGGAGTGTTACCAAAGGAGTGTTACCAAAGGAGTGTTACCGAAGGAGTGTTACCAAAGG